GCTTGTAAAGACATGGTTCCTTGGAAGGAGGTTTGGGAACACAGTATGTTCTGGGAGGTTTTCACTGATCAATCTACCATGGCACCTTAGTACTCTGTTTTCATCCAACTGCAGGCCTAATTGGTTCTTCAGATTGTTTCTTGAATTTTCTTTGACTGCATTGACCTCTGGTGTGAAAGCACTCTTTTGGAGATACTTCTCCCACATGACCTTTGCTTGGTTTATTTCCTCTGATGTAAGCTGTCCTTTGATTGTAATCTTCTTCTGTAGTTTTCCAATAGATTGCAAAGCCCAAGTGCTCACTCTGAGTAGTTTGGTTAACAAGGAGTAATTTCTTTCGTGGATGCCAAAGGGGGCATCTGGCTTGTCAAAGGTCATTTTGCTACTTTCTCTTGGTATTCCAGCCAGTGTTGCAGTCTCATACATAAACATGTGGGCCAGGAGACTGTTTGGTATTCTGTTCAGACACCTTGCTGTTAAACTGTGTTGACTTCCATAAAGGCCATTGTGATGGATGATCCGTTAACCACAATGGACCATGCCACCATAAGTTCACCTGTTGGAAAACCCCTGGTAGCCAGATCAGCGGATTTTATGAAGTGGACACATAGTCAAACTTGATGTGCCCGTGTGAGGTAATCTCTCTAAGCCAATTCTGAACAAACACAGGTAATGGCTTACAGGTTTTCATCCAGTGAAGAACACACTGTGAGTCAGTCCACAGAAATCTATCTACCATGAACAACTGAAGTTGTTGAGTTACATAGTTAAGGCATCTCGTTCCGATAAGAACACCTGGCAGTTCCAACCTTGGAATGCTGAGAGGTTTGGCTGGGGCAATGCATGCTTTGGAAAACACCAGCTTGACAGTTGCTTTTCCATTTACTGAAGAGTAGAGGTGTACTTAATAGGCTTTGGCAGAGGCATCTGTAAAGCAGAGCAGTTGGTGTTCATCTCCTCCAATATACCTGGATAATGGCTGAGAGGACAATGGAGTCAGGCTCTCACAAATCTTGCTCCATTCTTGTTGCTGTGACTGACTGAACATCTTGTCCTGATCTTTTTCTTGTTTCCACAGTTTCTGAATGAACAGCTTTGTTCAATGAGTCGTAAATTCTGCTGACAGACTGCTGTGCTTCTGTTTTTGCGGTCACTTCAGAGGAGAGATTGTGAAATCCATTGATGAAAATGGTATCTGTGGTCAAATTCCAGGAGGTTCCTAAGACTTTCATGGTTTCTGCACTGGTTCGATCACATTCTAGGATATTCTGGGGAAATTCAGAGGAGCTTGAAGCCCACTAACAAAGATTCATTGATGCAGATTGGAAGAGGGTCTTGGCTTCTTTGTACAGTTCATCTGCTTGTGTTGATGTTTCAAAGTGTATAATCACGTTGTCTACATAGATGTTATCCGCTATCTGTTGAGCGATGGGGGTACCTGCCTTGGTTAGATGATTTCTGATTGTTGCGGCCAACAGAAATGGACTGGATATCATACCAAATGGGACTCTGGTGAATCCCAGTACTTGAACATTGTTCTCAAGGGTAGGCTTAGAAGGATCTTTTAACCAGAGGACACTCACCACTCCAGTGTTGTCCACTGCAATAAATGCAAATCATTTTTTTTCTTCCAGTAAGATTCTGTGGTAGTTTGGTTTCAGACAGTAATGCACTAAGAGTAGTGTTAGAATCCAACTGGGTGACCTGTGATGTAGACCACATGTTTCCAACGGAGCCTTTGTAATCAACTTTGTCAGAACTTTGCCTATCTATATTTTCCCTGTTACTAATGTACCTATGCAACTGATCTCTGAGTAGCTGCACTGTCCATTCGTCACCATTTTTCTGGTCAGTCAGGTGGATGAGAATATCTTTGGGTAACTTAGCCATTATCACTATCTTGTTTAAAATGAATGGGCGCCCATTTTGTTTCCCTTGTTGAAATCATCGAAGGGGAAACTTCTGAGCACATTGTGTTGCATATGGGATAAAATAAAACGTTATTGCGGTTGTATATAGAATATTGTATATGATTGAATTGTGCGATATGTTTTTGTTAGACAGCCATTCAATCTGTGCAGTTCTCGAGGGATTTCTGGCACCGCGATATTTTATGAGCCACATTTGGATTCTTTTAAAATTTTCCTTATCGCTTTCCGCATGAAGGGACGCAGAGGTATGTTCTCATAGCTTTAAAATAAAAATTGTTTGCTTTGAATGTCTTATTTACTCTTTTCATTCAGTTTTTGGCAACAAATGACAAAATCCTATCCAGTGACCATTGCGTGACAGACAAATTTTAGTCGACATTGGACGCCACATTTACATACAGCATACAGCATGCAGCATGAGTGAGGAGAACAGAATATAAACATTTTCCTTTAACAGGCAAGCGAATGACGCTGGAAGGCTTCACTACTTTTATGGCTTGCCATTTAAGAACAAGGGATCGCAATGTGGTGGCTAATCTTGGAGTCGTTAGTTGAATGTCATTAGAAGATGATGTACTTTACCGAACTCCATGCGTCACAATGGTTATCATGTAGGATTCTGAACACACCAGTACTTAATGTTTGAATGTAATATCTTACAGAAGGTGAACTAAACATGACTTTTCTGCTATGGTTTAAGTCCAAATACTGAGGAATCAAATGCAAGAAGTTCCTTTTGATTATCTGGTCACAGGCACTTGCTGATTGTTTTCATTTCTAGCAGGTTAGTGTTGTGATTATCATGATTTTGACAGCATTAGTACTCAGTGCTGATGAAAAGCCCGAAAATAATTTTTATACCAGGTTTTACACTGACATTTCCTCTTTCAAAAGGTTAGAATTTTAGGTGTTTCAGTTTTTTACCGGGTAGCGAATTGAAAAAGTGTGAACTGATTTTAAGTGGCTCGCTGTGACCTTGAAAATTAACCCACAAAAGTATAATTGGCCTCAAAAGACTTGTAAACCCTTGAACAATAAATTCCCAGGATCAAACTGGAGTGTTATTGTGATGCGGACGGAACAGAGCGAAGTTTATGATAAGGTATGAGTCACTTAAGTTTGCATGTTTTTGACCAGACATGGGTCCGTAAGAAATTTGTGATATTTTGGCGGGTTTAAAAACTATTTCAAGAAAAAATCCCGCCATGTTTCTGGGCGAAATGTGAAAAATTTTGATATTTCATCATGTGCCACACATTTGCGATATGGCTCGGTCTTAGTGGACATTCCCTCGTCTTGATAAGTTCTTCTTACCTTTATTCAAAATATTAGCATGCTATCAGGTTTTTTTTAGTAACTTTATTTTTGCCAATGTTGCTCAAATGTTCTGCGGAAATCATCTTAATTCATTGTTGCGTTCTTGGAACATCCATAAGTTAGTAACCAGGTGTATTAAATAATGAAAAACTAGAATCCAGACTCTTCACCTAAAGAAGGTTAGAATGCCTGGAGGTTAAAAATTTGTCACAAACAAAATGGTGTGTTTTGGTTGCTGTTTTAGGAGAAAAACTACTTCAAAATAATCAATCTCCTCAGAATTTTTATTTGCAGGGGAGGTAATTTTTTTTTTTTCACCTTTCCTTTTTCTCCTTTTCTTCTCTTTTTGCTGCAGTGATTGACCTTCTACTTGGCTTGCTCCCAGTTCAAAAATTTCTGAGAAAGCATCATTGAGATGGGCAATTTTTACCATGGAGGAGCTAAGTGCAGTCACAGGAAATTTTACTGCGAGTTTTTCACTCAAATTTCTGACCATTTTTGTGTGTATTTCAGGCTCCATTGAGCTGATCACTCTGACCTGGGTATCATTGGAAAGATCTTTTCCTCCTGCAGAACTTGAGTATAGATGATACCAATTTTGTTCAAAGGTGATGATGTCAGTAGTGGAACAAAGGCCAAGGCTTGTCACGGCCAGTTACAGGCGGCACAGAGTCAATGGTTAAATTATTCTTATCTATAGTTCCAATAAAACTGATCAAATCTAAGCGATTTGAGGACAGTGCCTACTTTTGTAAGTGCACACGCATTCTGCACATCACGCAAGGCATGGTTTAACTGCCATGTGTGCACTAGGGTTGGCACTGACATAATCAACTACACTACCAAGTACGCCACCAAAATGAAAGCAAAATTCCCTACTGTGACCAAACCAGGTTTAATAAACCTGCACTAAAGACAGGAATACTGGAATAGCAGCTTATCGCTACCCAATAACTGTTAATGGCTTCTAGCTGAAAAACCTGCTTTTATCTGCAGAAAATTATACTGAAATCCAACTGTAATTAAAATTTTCTGTTATTCAAATTTTGACAAAACTCGAACTCCGTTGGCCAATCCAGGCATCGTGTTTGTAGAAAAATGTTTCATGCCATTCGTCTCATTTGATGCAAGTTCTCAATCAAAGTAGGCGGCGAAATCATGCAAAGTAGCTGGCGAATTTTGCCAGCCGCCATCCCTTATTGAAAATCCTGTGAATAACTCTAAAAAACGTGTGGTTACCCCTACATTTTATGTTTTGAAATGGAAGTGGCATGCCTTCAACATGTGATTAGTTTCTGATTGTGAGGAAAAGCTGTTTAGATTGCATTTTAGCTGAACCAGAGGAAGTGCTATTGTAATGATTTTGTTATCAAAAGCATACCAAAAATGGTTTTTATGTTACCATTTACCATGTAGTTTTAAGATCTTAATAAATGTATTTGTTTTTCTGTGTGTAAAGGTAAATTCTAAGGAAATTTGTGAAGAAATATCCTTTCCTTCTATGTTCAGAAAATGCTGATACAAGCATTTTTGTTGAGACTCTGCGTTACTTATGAAAAAAAATGCATGGCTACCCCCATTTTTCTTTGTGGATTCTAATAGCCCTTAAAAAGATCTACTTTTTCTGCACGGTCCTAATCTGGCACAAAAACCTTTGTATTTAGTAGGCATTGTCTTTAAGTGATCACATGACAGAAAACTCTTAACTGGATGCGTGCAAAGTAAAACTATCTGTAAAAGAACTTATCTTACCCAATTCTTGAGTACAGGAGGCCATGAGCACAAAGAAAGTGGAGCACAAACTTCTTGTTCACCTAAAAGGGTTTTTGAAGTGTCAGATAACAAAGTTAGGTCACTTTAACGTGTGTTTTATCATACTACATTTCAGAGAGCTGTGCAAGGCAGCAAGTCTCTTCCTGTTGAGGTACGAATAATACAGACCATTCCTGCATACCAATGAGCAATGATGCTGAGTCATAGTCAGGGCGGGTAAAATAAAAGATGTAAGAAAATGTCCACCCCAACCTCATTTTGGTTCTATTGTATGTGCGCACCAGGAATGGGGTAAGGTCTTTCAAGCTCATCGACCATTATGTATCCACACACAGATGTATGGAACAGGGTTACAAATAGCATCAGTGCTTTAACACGAGAACCATTAGAAACTAGGGACATTAAGATTGTCAGGAGTGGATTAACCATAATAATTTGTAAGATGAAACTTTCTCTTGTTCTCTGGACAAGTCACGTTTGAATGCTGTTGAGGTCACAAACATAATAATTGGTTACAAATGTAACAAGGGACAGATCACAACAAAATTGAAAGGCTCTGTGGAAAAAGGGCATTAAGTATTTTTTGTCAAAAGTGAACTCTGTCAAAAGGCCATGCGCACTGTGTTGGTGTACAGAGCCGTTACAAAATATGTAACACTAAAAAACACGGTGGAGTATAAAATTTAAGGACAGCTATAACAATCTGACGACATCAAATGAAAGTAAATTATATGTGCATTTATCTCCTGATGAGAAAATCCCAGAATATCTACTTACTTTCACTTGAAAACAAAATGAAAACACCATACAGGAAATTGACGATAAAAACAGGAGTGAACGAGTTCGAAATTTTTGACATCCTTTCCGCTGCCATTAAAATTTTGAGACAAAAGTCTTGAAAATCAAGGTGCACAGGAGTTGTAGAATCAAGGCGAATAGGTATTTTTCACAGAAAGTCTACACAATCAAGATAAAAGTGATTTTCTAGCATTACATTCATATTTTTGAACCAAAGTTTTGGTTCAAATTTCAACGTTAAACACAAGCGTTTTGTCCAGCTTGTGAAAACGTTCACATCGTTCGTTTGCTTCGTTTCATTTCCATCGTTTGGATCATTTCTATTGTTTGCAATGTTTCTATCGTGCGTTTCGTTTTTGTTGCACATTCGTTTCGTTTCTATCATTCGTTTGATTTCTATTTTGAATATCGTTTGGAACCCGGGTTTTGAACTATCTTTGGCATTGTTGTTTTTGTGTCTGTTACTTGGTGTCTTGCCACATGAATCTCGACAACAGCTTCAATTGATGCACAGTTCAGGCACAGGTAGGCACAGTTTAGGCACAACGAATGCACATTTTACATAGTTTAAGGTTACTTCAAACCTTCGCTGGTGTACTCCAGAAAAAATTGGTATGTGCGCTGTTTTCAAGGAAACCCCCACAAACTATATATCAACAGAAAGGTTGTAAAATGTAGAATTCGATAAAATTATGTTTTGCTTTGGATTTTGCTTTCCAAAGGCGGCAGAGGCCGTCAACTCCAAAATGAGTGACTGACATTCCAGTGAATTAATCGGGTATCATATGCGATCGTTCATGCAAAATAACTGTGCAGTGTTCATCACAAAGCCTCAATCTCCAAAAACGTGTCAGCATTTTCTTTTATTTCTATTGGTTATCTTTTTATAGATCTGTCAAGTTTGACTATCGAAAAATTCGCGTAACCTGTTGCGTTAAAGGCTGCCACGAGGAAAGTACTTAAAATATGGGAATTCGCCGACATGCTTTTGTTCCCTATCTATCAGTGGATGTTCTGACCAAATTTCATGGAAAACCGTCAAATCTGCATACCCTATTAATTAATTTAAAGAGAAGGGATTCTCTCGAAAAACAAGGGTGAGTTTTCACCTTCTAAAGATTTATAAACATGTCATGCCCTCACAGAGGAATGTGTCAACTTGAAAAGCCATGAGCCAATGAAATAACAGAACCCCTAGCGTTCACAGTATGCAAACTTGAGCTTTGCGGACTTAAATTTTCTTGACCAAAAACATATCGACCAGTGTAGCCCCGCGAAGGTTTGAAGTAACCTTAAGAATCTTCCAACGTGCAGATCATTTAAAATGTTCATCAACAATTGTTCAAGGATGGGTTTAGAGTTATTTCACTGAAAGCATTAGCAAACCTGGTCAGTTCCCAATGCATTGTAAAAACATGCAAAACGTTTGAAGTAAATTTACAATGCTTGTAAACAATACTTGGAGTTTAATTTCTGTTCCTATAAAACTGGACCAGAACCACGCTGCTCTTCCTAAATTTATTGCATGATGAGCCAGTGCTATGAGAGGTTTGAACTCAATGAACTTGGGATCAGCTGAAAGTTTCGTGGCTTTCAGTGGCAGCATTAAATCACTCATGTCATGTCAATTTCTGTTACATTAAGGCATGTTTAACATGACAAGTCTTAAGGTTACTTCAAACCTTTGCGGGAGTCCTCCAGAATAAAATTCGTAGGCATGCTGTTTCCAAGGAAACCCCCACAAACTATATATCAACAGAAAGGTTATTAAATGTAGAATTGGATAAAATTATGTTTTGTTTTGCATTTTGCTTTCCAAAGGCGGCAGAGGCCGTCAACTCCAAAATGACCGACTGATGTTCCAGCGAATTAATTGGGTATCAAAAGCGATCGTTCATGCAAAATAACTGTGCAGTGTTAATCTCAAAGCCTCAATCTCCAAAAACGTGTCAGCATTTTCTTTTATTTCTATTGGTTATCTTTTT